GTCTACTACAGAATCGGAACTCATGGAAGGTGAATTTTGAGAATTTAAAAGATATGTTGGTCAATCTTGAGCATTCTCTCCTCAAAAATGTTTCTTTTACAAGAACATCAGACTTATCTATCCTTTTTTCAACCATACCTCATGTCAAACTGAAAGAAACGCTCTCTCATTATGAGAGGTTTGTTTTCCAAGAAAAGCGAAAGACGATATAAATATATGCCGTGACATATCATGAGTTCAACTGACATAATTCAAGGCTCGGCAATTTAGCTTCGTGTATGATATATATTTTCAATTTTTATGAGCTAAAAATCAATGACCAATACACTTGCCTTATACAGCAAGATCTAATGTCCAATGTATACAGTATATGCTCTTATTAAACCGCAAGTCAGGGTGAAAGTTATATTTACTGACCAGACACATATAGTCAAAAATGATCCTGGTAAGACACTCACATGGTCAATAAAGATCCTGGTGAGACACTCGCATGGTCAATAAAGACACGGTAAGACCGTTTCAGTCAAAAAAGATCTTAGCAAGACTTCAACGTCAATAAAGATTCTGTTCAGACACTTGCATCGCCAACAACGATCCTGGTAAGACACTTACATCGTCAATGAATATCCTGGCAAGGCATTTACATCGTCAATAAAGATCATGGTAAGACACTTACATCGTCAATAAATATCCGGGAAAGACACTTTCTTCGGCAATTATCCCATAAAGATCACGGTTAGACACTTACATCGTCAATAAATATCCGGGAAAGACACTTTCTTCGGCAGTTATCCCATAAAGATCACGGTAAGACACTTACATCGTCAATAAAGATCATGGTAAGACATTTTCAGAGTGTATAAAGATCCTATCTAGATACATCATCTAGAGCCAATAGCGATCTATGAAATAACATTAAACTGTGTGCATCAACACAGTCCAATAGATGGGTTTAGATCAGTACGCTTGAGGATGCGGTCCGGATAACAAATTACACAATGCATATATATGCCGCCCATATACAATGGAGTCTTACAAATCTGGACACCTGGGCCGTTTTCGTTTAAACGGTCAAACCGGTCAGACCACTGTTGTTCGTTTATTAAATAAGGTCGGACCTAGTAATATGATGCTGCTTTCAGGCGAGCCTTGACAAAGCCTTGAAAGGCCTGCATTTATACCTGACATTGTTACATTTATAAACGGTGAAACCGGTTGTTCCGCATAAACGAACAAGCCTCCAGTACGTCGGAAATATTACCGCATGCACGCAAATATCCGGCTGGATTTGTGTGTTTTTTTTTATCGAGGTTCAATGTCTGACACTTATTGTTGCCAATATGACTCATTAAAGTACATGTAAATACAATCATTGTTGTACAGGGATCCGTATAATGTTTACATACATTGTTTTTTAATTTATATATTGAAAACGACAACAAGTTTAACTTTGTGCCCATGATATGTAAGGTTATCAAATTCCACACCATGGTGTAACAATGTTAGTTTGATCGGTCTATATGTATTCATATTATTAATGGGGATTTTTTAAATGAAATGTTCAAGAAATTTCCGGACTTCGAACTGTGTAAGTGAGTGACGAAGGAATGTGTGGTTTGAGGTGTGTACTAAGATCGATTACCTAGTAGGCTACGGGAGAGAGAGTTCCGTCTTGTATTACAATTGAATAAATATTGCATAATACGAGCTGAAAGCCGGATCTAAGAAGGATTGGCTGTCGCGTTGGTATGGTAGGTTGTGTGTCGGTAGTACATTTGTATGTACAAAGAATGACGAGACGTCGGTAAGATCCGGTATGATTAAGCAAACTTTCCGTATGAACCCTAGACAGGATGATGTTATATGTCAAACTATAAACAGTTGCTTAGATACACATCCTTTTTATATATCCGACAAACTGTGAGTGGACTGAATTTTCAAAATCAGGAACATATTTACACCGATAATTATATTGATGTATAGCTAGCCGGACATGTATGATTATGATCATTTTGACTTCCGGTGACCAGCTAGCCCAAATGACTGTTGGCTTGAGTACAGTTTGAAATAACTACACGACTATCTCCTGTAACAAAAAAGGGAGATATAGTCCGTTATATTTGCTTTCCTCGATCGATACCCAGGGGTAACGCTCACAAATATTACGCTCTCTGCATCCCTGTAGTATATCTTGACAAAGTCGAAGCTCAGTGTGCGCCACTTTATGGATGAGACAAGAAGACACATTTTATCATTTGATATACATCAAAAGAATCTCGCGGTAGCGTAACGGTAAAATTGACTGTCTTAGAGGTCGGATGTTGCTCCTCTATAATCTCCAAAAGACAGTTATCAGCTAAACGATTGGTCTGGGTATTTTTAACACGAGGCCAACCATATAGCTAGCAGCGTGCCTTCAATTTGGCTATGACATAGGTCTATTCCAGGGGTACAGCTAGAGCGTATACAAACTGAGTGTTACCCCTGGAGTATCGAGGATGGTTACTGTATGTAAGATTAATACAAACGCGGTTTAGCATTACCCTATTATATATATTGTTGATTTAGCACGGTAGGGTACAACTCTTTTAATGACGCTTTGAGTCGAATACATATGCTACAAATTAGAGCGTCCGTCTAGAGTTCGGAGGTCCCGGGTTCGAATCCCAGTCTGGTCTTAATGTGGCGTGCCGAAAGTCTCTCAAGATACGCTATTTTCCTATTGGAATCCATATTAATTAGAATTTCCTCTACCTAATTTTAAAGACTTCGTTTTCCGCCCAATATAGTGATACATATTTTAGAGAATTACTAGTATTTTAGTTTGTTATATAAACTCTATCTATTAATTATCTGTGGCACTGTTCGGATATCATACCTTTACCTCTGTAAACGTAATAATTGATGTCATTCACAAAGAATGCTGTGTTAATTGTCCCTAAAAAAATGTTTTTTGGGGATTAACTCAGCATAGTTAAGAATCTAAAAAGACGATAATGACATAAATATTACCAAAACAAGTGCTGGATAAAACGCTATGTTCATGCCAAATTTCATCAAAATTGGAAGAAAGAAGTAGTCAGAGGAGTTTGTTTTAGGATAGTAACTTAACATGGAATCCAATCGATGCAAAAAATGTAAATTGAAAGACAACTGGCACCTTACTGCATACATGTACTGTTTTACGATGTCAACCCAAGTCACCAATATTGCTTTTACATCCGTCTGTCCTAAGTCTGGCACACTTTTACATGTATCTCAAAGGTGTCAGTAAATGTGTTCAATGACGAGCTTATGAACACAAATACAAAGAATCAATAACAGCAATGTGATCCTTCTGACAAATGCATGTTGAGACTATCTATATACGGCTGTCCTTCTCAAAGGGCTCAACAGGTTCTCTCGAAATCTTACAAAACCATAAGCAGAATTAATTTTAACTATACAGAAGTCCGTCTCTCCTCGAGTTATCGGAGTATTGCAGAGAACCATGGTGCACTTTCACTATTTCAAAAGCACAGTTCACGTATGTTATGTCACGGTGTCCAAAAGTTATGTCCAAATGTGAAGATGTTTTACCAATGAACACGGTAAATGCATACTACTTCACATCCTCGACACAGCATGCTACTTCTTATCAATTGTACAAAGAACTGTTCGAAATGACAAAAGAAAGCGTAGCTACAATTTCAAAATGTAAATAATGTAACGGCCGCATCAAATTTCTATTGCTGACAACCTGGGAGGGCTTTATTAAATTGGTCATCAATAGCAATGTGTGTTATAGGGCCATAACAACATTTGCTAAAATATTCATTCCTTAAAGATGCGGAGTAGAATGATTATTTGAGATAGACCATTGTCATGATGTTGAGGTGTTATTTTGCCATTCCGTATAATGTAAAGCAATGTTAGGTCAGTTACTCTTCTTAATGTAAGACTTCAGAACACTTTGGTAACAATTAAGACCTATTTAACTAAAGATAATTAATATAAGTTTGTACAATTGATAAGAAGTAGCATGCTGTGTCGAGGATGTGAAGTAGTATGCATTTACCGTGTTCATTGGTAAAACATCTTCACATTTGGACATAACTTTTGGACACCGTGACATAACATACGTGAACTGTGCTTTTGAAATAGTGAAAGTGCACCATGGTTCTCTGCAATACTCCGATAACTCGAGGAGAGACGGACTTCAGTATAGTTAAAATTAATTCTGCTTATGGTTTTGTAAGATTTCGAGAGAACCTGTTGAGCCCTTTGAGAAGGACAGCCGTAATAGATAGTCTCAACATGCATTTGTCAGAAGGATCACATTGCTGTTATTGATTCTTTGTATTTGTGTTCATAAGCTCGTCATTGAACACATTTACTGACAACTTTGAGATACATGTAAAAGTGTGCCAGACGTAGGACAGACGGATGTAAAAAGCAATATTGGTGACTTGGGTTGACATCGTAATACACGGTGTCCAAAAATACTCTATGTATTGAACAGCCATCTGTCCAGGGAGGGTCAATAATGGTATGAAACGTAACAGTTATGACGTCATAATAATGATGACGTCAACAATATGTACATGCATATATATATATGACATAGCCTACATTAATGCCATGCATGATTTGGTAAAACTGGTATACATGAAAAGTGGCGGTCAGTCATCTATGTTGTAGGTTAACCAGTCATAATGTCTCCAAAAACTATCTGTTGTAAACCATGCTCAAAATTAGTGCAATGAATACATTTTTTGTTGCATGATAATATATATACATTCATTTCATTTTTGGCTGCATTATAACTAGGAATCCCTTTTCTGTATCAAGTATATCCTGGTTACTGTTCTGGTCTATACTAGTTACTCACATATGCATTAGACCTATATCATTAATGTACTACTTTCTGACCCAGGCTCCCAATGAGGCTTCCCCATATCAGCGATGAATAAACACTTTTTTCGCGTGACGTACGCGTCATTGTAACGAGGCTCGGTTCTATAAAAAGAATCACGTGGTTGGCGGGATTACATAGCTCCGTTACGGGGGGTGTATTAGTGTGTACAAGATTTGTACATGTCATTCACTATAAATAGAAGTATTGAGACGATAACGACAATTTTAATCCGCCATTTAGACTGCAGAGAGCTGTCAGGAAGGAGGTTATCACACAGGTACGATACACACAACTTGGGTTTTCACCCATTCATCCTTCAGGCGTTCGGCCATGTTTATCGTGGACCCATGTTTCAGATTCTCTCATTTGTTCCAGAGAAATACGCTTTCGTCAATAAGTTTGCTTGTATTCATAATATTCTGTTACATTTTACATAACTATTTATACGCGGCTAAGACAGTTGTCATACAGTACAGTACAGTACATATTTTACAGGGACGGTCTAGGCACAGGGGCTTGTATTATATGATAAAATTAGCCAGAATAAATATATACACACAGGTATTTCTAGCTAATTTTATCATATATGTCTATACAAACCCCTGTGGTCTAGGGTAGCTTCCTATTGACAATAATATGAGCCTGCAGTCTTGGTCCAATATGACACTCAATCTGACCTGATGACCTAATAACTGGGCAAATATGGCAATATTGAATTAGCTAATTAATAAACCTATGGCGAGAATTAGTATACTAGTACAATGAGTTTTTTATCCTCCGCTTTCATCGAAACGGGGGATATTAATTTGGGTTTATCCGTCTCTGTCATGCTCATGCTTTTCCGTGCAATAACTATAACAAATGTTAACCGATTTTCTTCAAACTTGGTCACAGGGTTAAATGCCCTTGAAGAGCTTGGCCAAGTTTGATGACCACTTTCAGCGGACCCCATTTGGCGGAGTTATGGCTCCTTGAATAACGAAAAACGTCATAATCCGCCGTGCTTCCTTTCTGTGCAATAACTACAACAAATGATAACCCATTTTCTTCAAACTTGGTCACGGGGTTAAATGCCTTAAGGGCTTGGCCAAGTTTGATGACCACTTTCAGCGGACCCCATTTGGCGGAGTCATTATCTGCAGTTCCCGCTTAATAACTCGAGCAAATATTAGATAAGGCCCTTTTTTTCTTCGAGTTTCAAGCTATACATTATGTCTCAAAAGCACGATACTCACATGTGCAGACCTACATAATGTAACTCAATAATGTTTACCTACAATATGTCCTGAAAGCTGGGGATATAAATTCCACGAAGTTGCTTGTTACATATAAAGGGATATGGGAATTCTACCAAAGGATGACGAAGTTGAGGTCTGCAGTGCCCAAGTTATAGCGCTATTCTAACCTCAAATTCTAGAACTTTTATATCACATCCCCCCCGCCCCCCCCGCCCTTCCCTGCTACAAGTTATTACTATTCTGTAGGATACCTGGGAAAGTGCTGGACCTGGTCCTGGGTTTGAATCCCGATGTGTGGCTGTACAATTTCCGGCTCCTATTAGGGTAAAAAATAACACTCTGTGTTTGTATTGGTCATTAGAAGATATAAAGTACAGCATTTGCTTACGGACCACAGAGATCTGACCATGAGAACCAATTACAGTACGTTTGTTTGTTTGGAACTGTCCCTATATAGTTATGTATCAGGAGCTGTATCAATAGTGTGTAAGGTGCTTGTAAACTTGACACTGGTGTACACATGTGGCCCCATCTGGAGAACGGTGACAGTGTGATGGACCTATACGGGGNCTGCTTTCAAGGTCACAGGGGTCAAATATGTTAAAAATTTCAAACAACTATATCCTAAGAACCATTTGAACTAGAGTCATGATACTTGGGTATGTTATGTAGACCAGCAGTGCGAATATATTTCTCAATTACAGTAATGAGGTCAAAGGTTAACTTTAAATGCTAGTCGGGGGTCAAATGTCAACTTTGGTTAACAGCTTTAACAATCTTCTTCTCAAGTTCCATAAGGCCCAGGGTTATAATATTTGGCCAGTAGGTACCTGGGATGGAGTGCTATAAAGTTTCCTCATTAAAATGACCTTGGCCTGCTTTCAAGGTCACAGGGGTCAAATATGTTAAAAATTTCAAACAACTATATCCTAAGAACCATTTGAACTAGAGTCATGATACTTGGGTATGTTATGTAGACCAGCAGTGCGAATATATTTCTCAATTACAGTAATGAGGTCAAAGGTTAACTTTAAATGCTAGTCGGGGGTCAAATGTCAACTTTGGTTAACAGCTTTAACAATCTTCTTCTCAAGTTCCATAAGGCCCAGGGTTATAATATTTGGCCAGTAGGTACCTGGGATGGAGTGCTATAAAGTTTCCTCATTAAAATGACCTTGGCCTGCTTTCAAGGTCACAGGGGTCAAATATGTTAAAAATTTCAAACAACTATATCCTAAGAACCATTTGAACTAGAGTCATGATACTTGGGTATGTTATGTAGACCAGCAGTGCGAATATATTTCTCAATTACAGTAATGAGGTCAAAGGTTAACTTTAAATGCTAGTCGGGGGTCAAATGTCAACTTTGGTTAACAGCTTTAACAATCTTCTTCTCAAGTTCCATAAGGCCCAGGGTTATAATATTTGGCCAGTAGGTACCTGGGATGGAGTGCTATAAAGTTTCCTCATTAAAATGACCTTGGCCTGCTTTCAAGGTCACAGGGGTCAAATATGTTAAAAATTTCAAACAACTATATCCTAAGAACCATTTGAACTAGAGTCATGATACTTGGGTATGTTATGTAGACCAGCAGTGCGAATATATTTCTCAATTACAGTAATGAGGTCAAAGGTTAACTTTAAATGCTAGTCGGGGGTCAAATGTCAACTTTGGTTAACAGCTTTAACAATCTTCTTCTCAAGTTCCATAAGGCCCAGGGTTATAATATTTGGCCAGTAGGTACCTGGGATGGAGTGCTATAAAGTTTCCTCATTAAAATGACCTTGGCCTGCTTTCAAGGTCACAGGGGTCAAATATGTTAAAAATTTCAAACAACTATATCCTAAGAACCATTTGAACTAGAGTCATGATACTTGGGTATGTTATGTAGACCAGCAGTGCGAATATATTTCTCAATTACAGTAATGAGGTCAAAGGTTAACTTTAAATGCTAGTCGGGGGTCAAATGTCAACTTTGGTTAACAGCTTTAACAATCTTCTTCTCAAGTTCCATAAGGCCCAGGGTTATAATATTTGGCCAGTAGGTACCTGGGATGGAGTGCTATAAAGTTTCCTCATTAAAATGACCTTGGCCTACTTTCAAGGTCACAGGGGTCAAATATGTTAAAAATTTCAAACAACTATATCCTAAGAACCATTTGAACTAGAGTCATGATACTTGGGTATGTTATGTAGACCAGCAGTGCGAATATATTTCTCAATTACAGTAATGAGGTCAAAGGTTAACTTTAAATGCTAGTCGGGGGTCAAATGTCAACTTTGGTTAACAGCTTTAACAATCTTCTTCTCAAGTTCCATAAGGCCCAGGGTTATAATATTTGGCCAGTAGGTACCTGGGATGTAGTGCTAAAAATTTCCTCATTAAAATGACCTTGGCCTACTTTCAAGGTCACAGAGTTTAAATATGTTAAATATTTCAAACAACAATATCCTAAGAACCATTTGATCTAGAGTCATGATACTTGGGTATGTTATGTAGACCAGCAGTGCGAGTACTTTTTTCAATGAAAGTTATGAGGTCAAAGGTCTACTTTAAATGCTAGTCAGGGGTCAAATGTCAACTTTGTTTAAAAGCTTTAACAATCTTCTTCTAAAGTTCCATAAGGCCCAGGGTGATGATATTTTGCCAGTAGGTACCTGGGATGGAGTGCTATAAAGTTTTCTCATTAAAATGACCTTGACCTACTTTCAAGGTCACAGCGGTTATTTATGTTAAAAATTTCAAACAATAATATCCTAAAAACCATTTGAACTAGAGTCATGATACTTGGGGATTTTATGTAAACCAGCAGTTAAAACATTTTTTTCAGTTACAGTTATGAGGTCAAAGGTCAACTTTAAGTGCTAGTTTGGGGTCAAATGTCAACTTTGGTTAAAAGCTTTAACAGTCTTCTGCTCTAGTTCCATAAGGCCCAGGGTCATGATATTTGATATGATATTAACAAAAGAAACAGGTGAGCGATACAGGCCCTATGGGCCTCTTGTAATATATATGCATATGTTTCTGCACCAGTCTGGTGAGTCCTAATTACTGTTGGGAATCGGTTGAGATTTCAACATCGATGATCGGATATAATTGGTTAGTGTTAAAAAACTGATCGATTTTCGATTTTTTTTTTTTAACAATGGCATGGCTTTTCCTTTTATTAATACTATTAATGAAATTTCAACTTTGAATCAAACCCTAACACTTTTGCATGAGGTGTTTGAGCACATTTTTGCTTTCAGTGGCTTATGCCGTGTATGTCCAACTGACGAGTCCTGAGTACACTATAGTATGACATAGACCTCCCGTTCTCTCTAATTAGTGAAAAGGAAAGTAGAACTCGCACTTCCCGTTTTGAAAACAATCATCGATGTTGACATATCTCATAATCGATAGTCGGGAATCGGTTGCCTTTCAGATGAGATATCGATTATAAATTCGACCTAAATTAACCTAATAATTATCCAATAGGTGCCGAACTAGTTGCTTCCTGGCACATAATGAAAAGACTTTTACAGAAAAAAGAATCACCAGTCAGTGATATTTATATACATATCTGTGTTCTCATAAAAAGCTGGTTGTTGGCAAAAGTAGCGTGCTTTTCATCAACTTTGAACCAGCAAATTTCTCTGAATATATATACATGTAGTATAGGTCAACATTATTGCAGGTGAACCTATATATGTCATTCAAAATGCTATTCTTTTCAAGTAACCACCAATTTCAAAACATAGTGAAATCACCGAATATGATTTAATTTTAGTTCCAAACTGCAACATGAAAGTATGTAACTAATGAACGGCACACAGGTTTGACTTCCCAAATATAATATAGAAGGAGCGAGCTGTGCTCAAATTGTTATAGATTGTCATCCTGTACATTTTAATTTCCTGAAAAGAGCAGAGCAGGTATACTTGAATAAAAAATTAAAGCTGTCAGTCTACAAAAGCTTCATAGCAATTAAGCTTAAAGTTTATTAGTGTTTATTTCTGTGATATGATGTCATTTAAATTTGCGGACTGTGTTTTGGTACATGAACTCTTCCAACATTTGAATTGGAAGAGTTCAAATGTGTCTTCAGGGGTGAATGAGTTATTAACCTCCCAGAGCTATCATGTACAAACATAAGGCTGAAAGTCAGGCTTTTATGACGTATATGGTAATCCTAGTCGCTGGTATTTACCTGCCGGATGTCAATATATGCAGGTAAAATGTATACATTAGGGGTGTAAATATGCCTGTACGAGAATTTTGCTTGCCTTATATATTGATTTCTGACGATTACTACATTAAATGGGTCTGTATGTGCGTGGCATCATTTGCTTTAATAGTCAGTGTTGTGATTATGTTTGTTGAGGCATATATATGATATTGGTTGTATATTGTGAGGAAGTGTTCATTTATACCGGTATATATGTTATATACAGTTGTATATCTCGACTCGACACAAACAGGAACTTGTAGTAACATGCATGGTAATAATAGTTTGTGTATTGCCTTTATCTTATCTTATATTATCTCCGTACATCATCAGTGTTTTCTGTGTTTATATCTACACTCAAGTAGAGTTATATGTTTTAGATAAAATATTTACTTCTGATAATGATATGGATACTGAGACATTTATAATATCAATTGTACAAATTCATAAAATACGATTGGTTATGTCCATAAGTGGATAGAAACGCAATCATGCTTGGAATACATATACAGTACCTTATTTGACCCAATAAGGGCGCAGGCTTTGGTAAGTGAGAGAAGGGACGCCCTTATTAAGTAAAATGTATGTGCCATTAATTGTGGTATATACAATAAATGGACATGTATTTGTAATAAACTTTTTCACAAGATCATGTGATTTATATGGAATGCAATTAGAATAATACAATACTTTTTTATGACTTTTAGGTTAGCAGATCTAGAGTGACAAATTAGGCAATTAAGGTATCATGCCTGATTTTAATCAGAATTAATGGCACTTTGTAGACAGTGCATTGCAAAATATATATTATAACATTTCCCTCTTTCTGATTTGATGCTTTGTTATGAAAATATCTTATGAACAAAAGAGAATACGATTACCTTTGATCTTAGTATGTCTAAGGTAACGTCACTCATCATTTATACATAGTTGATGCCAATGTATATCAACAATTCATTTCTTAGTTGTGTGATCAATATGTTCACGTATTTGCTACATGGCATGGAAATCAACATCCTCGGAATTTCAGGGGTTAGATATCTCTCACTCATGTTCTCTGCACCCCTGGAATATGTCAAGTCAAAATCGAAGACACATATATATATATAACTAGTTAGCTACATTTGATTGGTTTCAGGTGAAATAAACTGACCAATTACTTTGAAGAATACAGATCATTGACATCCAACTTCAAAGCCAGTCACTTATACTGTTAAATTCTCTAGATCTAGATCTGCTGTACTTTGTGCATATCTTAAATGACATCAAATGATTATACTAGTCTAGTTGTATCATCAACAAGAATGTGCATACAGAACTAGAGCCTTTTTAAATAAGTGAGTGAAATCTCTGGAATTACGAGGATGGGAAATTAACGATAATAATTTTAATACTATGGCAGGTTTTAGTTGTCCATATGATTACAGTAATAATTCTACTGTAGCTTTGTGCTAGTACAAATTTCCTTTTAGCTTGATCGGTAGAGTACTGTGTCAGACTCACTGGGAAGCTAGGGGTCGTGGGTTCAATCCCTGGTGGAAGCATACAATTCTCTTTCCTTTTTCAATACTATATGCCTATATATAGGTAACCCTTATTGGAATCAGCATAACTTAAGTGAGGATATTGTACTTTTTATGACCCCGCCATAAAATAAGGGGGGGGGGGGGGGGGGGGGGGGGGGGGGGGGGCATGTAGTGTTGCCCATGTCTGTCCCATCCATGAGTGGGGGCATTTATTCAATGTTCTGTTGCTCTTTGTAATATTGTAGAAAGTTGGTGTTAGAGTTATCCTCTTCTCTGGCTTTTGAAAGTACAGATAAAAGGATATGACAGTCTACAACATAATTTATAAATATAAGAGTTAGTAATAAATAAAAAATAAAAAAGTGATATCTTCATGTACAAGGTATAATGACCTGAACCAAATTGGCAAATTTTCTGGGGAGAACGTTAACACTGCCAATGTTTCTTAGTAACAAAAGTAAAATAATTAATTACGTAGTTCAGGAATATATATTTATAGACACTCCATATTAGTTAAAACACATGTCATACCATAGGTCGTACCTGGTATGTGTGGTCTAAAAGCATTCACATGTGTGTTCAACTGTCACTTAACATTAATCAACCAAATTACATTTTGTGTATTCATGTACAGATTAAATTTGATTTTTTTTTAGTAAATTTTACCCAGACATGGGGTTGATTATTAAATTGGAAAAACAAACTACATGTACCATGGAAATTGTTCAAAGTAAAATTGGTCCATCATTTGTCATTTTAAGTTGCAAGTACAATTTGTATGTGTATATGTACAATACACGTATAGATCACTTCGTCCGACCAATATATCAGAATAATAAAACTTTCAGTTTGTGATTGACATCCGTTGTAACAGCTGTATCTTAATTACATTCTTATGGTAGGAGATCAATTTAAGATTTCGTTTTATAACACAACCTGAATAAAATTAGATGCAAATGGTGCTAACGTTAACAGATATATATCTTTTAAGTTATGTTATTGACATCAAGCTTTTGATAATTGCAGGTGTTGACGTCACCTCTAGTTCAACATTAAGCGTTGTGGTTCTCCCTTGATCTACTCTTCCCCAGCCAAGATGCCCCCTGTGGGCGCAGGTGGCCTCAAGGCAGAGGTCATGGACCAGGTGGCCAAAAACAAGGTCATGATCTTCAGCAAGACCACATGTCCCTTCTGTTTCAAGGTAAGTTCAAGGTCATCATATTTAGCCTTACCACATGCCTCTTTTTGTGTGTGGGTTTTTTCTAGTGCATGATCTACACTTTGTGCTGTGACAGTGTCTATGTGAAGGTACCAAGGTTGAGGTCAAGGTCATAATCTATAGCAAGATCACAAATCTGTAACATATTTTATATCGAACTCGGGTTCGATTCCACTCACAAGAGTGATTAATATAAGTTGAAATAACTTGTTTCATAATTATTGTAAAATAAATAAAGTTTATATTTATATGTTTTAGGCTAGGTATATATATATGAGGTTTGGCAAACAAAAGTACATGAAATGTCTGCATGAATTTTAGTTCCATAATATTGGTAATAAACAAGTCAAAAAATTGGTTTTACTGTTTCACTCGAGTGAAAAAATATTGATATTCTGCCGCACTTGTGAAATATGTACAAGTATGATATTTAATGGGAAGCCATGCCAGTAAGTAACTTTTGTATATCATGGTCATGTTCATGTTCCAGACCTACACTGTACATGTACCAGACCTACACTGTACATGTACCAGGCCTACACTGAACATGTACCAGGCCTACACTGTACATGTACCAGGCCTACACTGTACATGCACCAGACCTACACTGTACATGTACCAGACCTACACTGTACATGCACCAGACCTACACCGTACATGTACCAGACCTACACTGTACATGTACCAGACCTACACTGTACATGTACCAGACCTACACTGTACATGTACCAGACTACACTGTACATGTACCAGACTACACTGTGCATGTATATCCAAGATTTAATATCTTTATCTCCTGGCATCCATCGACTTAGACTACTAGTCTGGAGTGGCTGAAGGGAGGTGACTACTAGTCTGGAGGCTGAAGGGAGTTGACTACTAGTCTGGAGGCTGAAGGGAGTTGACTACTAGTCTGGAGTGGCTGAAGGGAGTTGACTACTAGCCTGGAGTGGCTGAAGGGAGTAGACTACTAGTCTGGAGTGGCTGAAGGGAGTTGACTACTAGTCTGGAGTGGCTGAAGGGAATTGACTACTAGTCTGGAGTGGCTGAAGGGAGTTGACTACTAGTCTGGAGTGGCTGAAGGGAGTTGACTACTAGTCTGGAGTGGCTGAAGGGAGTTGACTACTAGTCTGGAGTGGCTGAAGGGAGTTGACTACTAGTCTGGAGTGGCTGAAGGGAGTTGACTACTAGTCTGGAGTGGCTGAAGGGAGTTGACTAACTTTGGATGGATCATACCTAATATATAAAGCCTCGGAGATTATAGAGTCAGGAGTCAAGTGTTGAATTAATGAAAGGCACCTTTGGCAGAGGAACACGGTCGAATATGGGAAATGGGAGGGGGGGGGGGGGATAAATTTTTTTAGTCTAGTCCAGACTACTCCATATATGTCGTGGTAAAGGAGGGACTTTGATAAAAAAAAAATGTGATACTAGAATGTATCATTATGCCAGGATCAAGGGAATTCAATGTTTTATGATTTAAGGATGCAGGGATGAGAGACCTGGTAAAGGATTCAGGGCTCCAGAATATTTTTTGAAACCAACTACAAGGCAATTCATTTAATCTGTTTGTGTACGTTCACTTTATTGTCCGTGTGTCACTGACTCTGAAACTGGCACTGCCATGTTCATGTATTTAAACTGCATTCAAATTCAATCTGGACATGTTCAATTTTTGTTTGTCTGTCTATCTAGTGCAGTATTAATTTTCTTTTGCGACTTAATCACTTTTTTAGCTCATTGTCAGCATAGTATTTTTTTCATCTTTTTTTTTTTAAACTGCTCATCGTTTTGTAACTGTGGTAAATATAAGTTCTATTTTAAGAACAACAGGCACCAGATGTGTATTTCGGGATGTGTCTGCACTTTTCCAGACCAGAAACTGGATGTTCATTTTGGGTTGTTTTTGGACTTGCCATACACAACCACTTCCTCATCTCATACAGGCTGAGCATGATAATTTTTAACAAATGGGTTTATCTATAAAATTTAAACACAGCGTAGAGCAAAAAACATGAGTGCACTTGTACTTAAATTTGATGTTCAAGAAATGTACTCATTCGCCGAACGAGTTGTTAGTCTAAAACCTCTTGCCAAATCTGATTTCCACGTCTCGTGGACGAGTGGGCGAGGGTATGAGATAAATCTTAATGGCTATTCATTAAGAATGTTAGTAGACATTTTCAACTAATTTGGGAATGAAGCCTGGCCCTTTAAGTTTCTAGACTAAGAGATTCCAATGTTGGATAAATAAAAAGAATAAACCAATACACCCAAACAAATCTATATCTACGTTCTAACCCATGATCACCAGTACTCAAATAATCAATAATAGGAAACATTTTCTGTGTCTGGTCTAGATCTAGACTCTATACACGTATATAACTAACAAGTGAATGATTACAGGCATCATGGGCCTCTTGTTTTAGTACATGCGTTCTTAAGAACTGTCTGTCTACCAGTCCTTTCAGTTTGAGAGTAATCACCATTAGTCCTGGAATCATTGATTAACTACACGATGAACTACCCTCATCAGTTCCTGTCAGCTTATATATTTAACGAGGTTCATTAAGAAAAGTATCGGGTTGTAGCTAGGTGTAAATCAATATAACCAGTACTTTCCTGTCAGTACACTGCTGTGTTAACTGTTGCATCTTAGTTCTCGGTCTTGGCTCACCTGGTCTGAAATAGGCCGATAGATTTTAACCTGGTTTTTATTGAGTAAGCCTGGATCAAAAGGGGATTCAATATTGTGAAAAATGAAGGAAGTTACCCCTATTCTCCCAAATCCCCATCCTACATACATATGTACCCCTCCCGAAGAGCTGAGGGGCAGAGCCCAATAGGAAAATAATGTAAATCCTGAACGGTATGACTACAAAAGAGGATTCTTTATCGTGAAAAATGAAGGGATTTACCCCTATTCTTTTAAGTCCCCATCCTATATATCCCTCCCTAGAAGCTGAGGGGCAGAGCCCAATAGGAAAATAATGTAAATCCTGAACGGGATGACTACAAAAGAGGATTCTATATCGTAAAAAATGAAGGGATTTACCCCTATTCTCTCAAGTCCCTATCCTACATACTCCTCCCGAAGAGCTGAGGGGCAGAGCCCAATAGGAAAATAATGTAAATCCTGAACGCTATGACTACTATCTACAATTATAGAGGAAGGAATTTCATTCTAATTGAGCATCCATTTCAGTATCCAGTGATTTTTGGGACACAGATATCCGAGTCCTGTACTCATGCTTTTCCTGGTATCCTGGGGTAAAAAGGATCAAGTGTTTATAGAAAATGAAAACTTTGTGCCCGCTTGACCCTAAGAGGCAGGAGAGCAAGGTCACGTTGAAGAAATATATATGGGGACCCGGATGATGATGATCAAATTATGTATAAGTGAAGAGTACGTCTTAGGATAGAAGACCAGATCGAGAGTGCACATGCATGTCATGTACTAAAATGTATAGGGTAGATGTCTTGCCCTGCTCTATATAGAGAGTTAAGGCCCCTTGTGTCACTAGGCGTCACTTTACCCGGGACATGTCATATGTCGTGTCACCTACATACAATTGTCAAAGTTTTATGAGATGATAGCGTTTCATGCATATGCTAAAGTCCAGTCTCGTGCCCAAATTATACCACTATGGGTCTTTGTTTGGTTATAAGATACTGAAATTTGCCCGAAGGTAGGGGACTGGATTGCATGCAACATTGTCTTCTTGAATTTGTTTGGGTCAGAATTGAAAAGTGAATATGGTTGTCGTTAATTTAGATAACGATAAAACAGATTAAGTAATTTTTTTTAAGAATGTATTCTTTTCTTTTTGTATGAGGCATCTACATGTATCAGGGGAGATAAGAAATGAAACTGTGTTCTGCTGCAAGTAAATTAAATAAAAGTTTAAAAGAAAGAAAAGAACATTCAAGATCAAATTAGGAAAAAAAAAAGAGAGAAAAAGAAGAAAAACAATCTGAATATCATTGGGAATTTTGTCAAATTTTGCTCCAAAAATATTATTATATATAAAGCAGAAAAAAACAGTATACATGTACCTGTATATATATATATTCCTTTTCATTTTATCTGTCTATAGCTGTCTCTCAATAAAATTTTACCTGTTTGTCCTTCAATAATTTTCTTACCTGTATCTATCTTTTCACTTTGCAGGTGAAAGAAATGTTCAAATCCATCGACCAGGAATATGGGGTGACAGAGTTAGATAAGATAGGTAAGTAGAATCAGCGGTATGTCTGACCTTACACGTGTGGTCCGGTGGCTGTATCACCTAACAGGACTAATGGACGAGGCCAATGTTTCTAGCCGTGTGACAGCATCGATATCTTTGAGGCTTTGATGTAGTTTACCTGTAAGCCATGATTGGCACTGAGATGGCTGTGACAGACATAGGACCTGATAGAATTTTATGGATTGCTAAATTAGACTTGCAGTGTGATGATATATAGGACATCTTTCTAGGGCAGATCTCTGAGTGTACATTACTAGATAGAATTTGTTAATCATTCTCTCGCCTTCCGTAATTGGATAATCTTGTTACAGTGTACAAGATCACATTCTGATGGATTAAGGGAAATTTATTCAGATGTGTTGATGAATGAAGAACTGGTTTGAGAATAAACAGTCACATGTAACAAGTTTGTAACAGGAATTGAATACAGGAAGTGTAGATTTTCTGACAGTGAAATGTGTTGGCTTCAGGAATTGTGTATAGGAAATGACGATTTTCGGACATTGTAACATTCTGGTAACAGGAATTATATATAGAAAGTGTATGTAGGTTAAGTGACAGTGAAATGCTTACAACAGAAACAGTATATCAGAGGTGTAGATTAATTCTCTAGAATAAGTGTTGTATTCTGGTCGTGAAATTCAATCTCCTGAATGCTTTATCAGTGTTTTTGAAGTACTAATGAAATGGAGCATTGGACCATGTGGATTTTTTGAAATCCTCGTTAACTGTTTGTGAGGAGGATAATCAGAAACATCCTGGTGTTAACTGTTTGTGAGGAGGATAATCAGAAACATCCTGGTGTTAACTGTTTGTGAGGAGGATAATCAGAAACATCCTGGTGTTAGTATAGGACTGGGACAGACATGAGCTCTTCACAAAGAATAAATATGGGATCTGGGTCTTCCTCGGCGGCCGTCTTTTCATTAAAACTACGAAAGAGAAAGAAAAGAAGTCCAACATGTATGCACCCATTATATAAGTTCATAAATAATTGATGATAGCTATAGACATCCAGTCAAAAATCAAATTGCCAAAAAAAATAAAGTTTTAAAATTCTTCTGAATTTTCATATCGTATATAGTTTTAGTTAAGTTTTTTTGTTTGTATTTTGTTTGACAACTGTTTTCTTAAATAAGAAGTTCAGACAACTGTTTTCTTAATTAAGAAGTTCAGAAATGTCTTTGTTTTGATTTCTTTTTTAAAAGATCATTACTAATGATGTTTGTTTTACAGCTAACGGATCAGACATACAGAACACACTGCTAGAAGTTACCGGACAAAAAACAGTGCCAAACGTATTTATCAACGGAAAACACCTCGGTAAGTCTGATTTTATTACCATCCAAACTGATCGAAATATTATCATGAATGACTAGATAGGGAAGTTTGACCTTTTAAAAATTGTTTTACCTAAAAAGATTGACCTCAAAAAATGTTCATGTGAAATTGACCTGAATTTGACCTTGAACTTCAGGACAGGATTTTCCAGGTTAAATTTTACCTCAAGAAGTTTTTCCTGTGTACTGGTACCTTATGTCGGTTAACAGAAACCCTGTTCAGCTGTATATTCTTGGTGATATATATAAAACGGTTTTGTTGTACAGACTGTATTATATAATAAATAATGAATTAGCACAGATTTACTGTGTCTTCATGATTTATATCAGAAGGCATGGCCAGAGATCAATAACTGACCCTTTTATACCCCACAAATAATCAGGTCATGATCAAGTTGCATTGGTTCTGAATATCTGTAAAAGAAATTGACAATAAGTATGACAAGGAAATGTGATTTCAGCACCAAATGTGTCCAGTTGACACTGTAGAAAAGCACTCAGCTGGTCGACTTGAAATGAAATATTGCTATACTATTATAGTCACACAATTAACCTCTGTTATATCAGCTGGCTTTGAACATGGATACAGGAATATTAGGCCAGTGTATTATATATATGTATGATATAGATATTTCATATATATAAGAATGGGCAAGTTCAACTGGAACTTGTGCAATAATTGCAAAATATATTATGATATGATAAATAGCCATGTAAAAAAATGTTTGGCACAGAAGTATTGATTTTGCTTTACAATTAATTACTGTTCGTGTTTGGTTCCACCAATACATACAAAGACTTCAATGCCTTTTAATTAAATGATCCTGAGTTCTTAAACCCCTGTATGAAGAGTTATTGCCCTTGATGTGCAATTTACTAGCCCTGCACATCAATGCTTTAATTTTCTTCCTTCAAATTGAATAAAAAGGGTGTCATTTAATTTTGTCAAAACTTTAATTGAAAAAGAGAGGAAACTAACTTGCACTGGAGCTATGCAGTTCATGCAGAGCATAGTACTGGAAGTTGGACTATGGCCTATGGGTAATAGTTTTGTTCGGCCTAAGTAAAAAATATATTTAGACTAAATCAAAATTATGTAAATTCATGTTTAATAATTCAGACAAAAAATTGCTATTTCATCATGTACAATATCCTGGGAACTAATCTGTAAATATGGGCCATTTAAAGAAATGGATTACTTCAATGCCAGATTCACCATTGTCGAAATAAACGCAGCAACGTATTATTGGCTCAGCAAGCCATCACTGTATACCCTATATAGAGAAACTGTTTTTAGAGCTACACACAGGTAACAGTTACGGCAATCAGGAAGGTAGCTGAAATGCTTTGACAGACTCATTTGGTAATCATAAACCTAATATTGAAGTGAAGAATTCTGTTTTTAGCTTTCAGTGACCATGTGGAGTGTCAATTACTGCGCTAACAAGATTAAAAAACCCACCTGAAGTTATATTATATCAAATATTTAACTTAGTGACCACATTATTAATATCATTGTGCTAGTTCATTAAAAGTGATCCTACTTGTGCAGATACTGGCTATAGGGAATTATTGAGTCACAAGAACATTTACTGGAAATATCATAAATGTGGGCACATCTATTGTTAGTTTATCTGGTACAAAGTACCAGGGTGAGATTGTGTGGTGGTGCTTCGATCAGCCACTATCGTAATAATAATAATAATAATATGCAACATTTATATATAGACCGCTAGCGCTCTATATAGTTTGCAATATTACTCTTGGGCGCTTTTCAATGTCCATCCATCCTGAAACAATTTTTGTTAGCACCATTTCTCAAAAAGTGTTCAAGGGATTCTTTTCAAATTTCACATGCAGGTTTCCCATGGTCCCTTGTTATGCATATCAAATTTTGGGACTGATCACAAAACCAAATTGGCCAACAAGCAGCCATTTTGAATATGAGAGTTACAGTTTGTAAGAACTATTTGAATTTCTCTGGAAGCACTGGAGGGGTCTTTCTCAAATTTCACATAAAGGTTACCCATGGTTGATATATATATATAGTTATATAGTTATTCATATCAAATTTTAAGACTGTAGGGAAAAAAACACTGTTACCTTTGCATTTTAAATTTACCTGTATGTTTGTTACCTGTGTAATGAATTTACCTGAACATGTTTGTTTCCAGTGCGTTATAAATTGACCTGAACATGTTTGTGTCATGTGCATTATGCATAATAAATTTACCTGTACATGTTTGTTACCTGTGTGTTAAAGATTTACCTATACCTGTTTGTTACCTGTGTGTAATTAATTTACCTGTACATGTTTGTTACATGTGCAAAATAAATTTACCTGTGCATGTTTGTTTACAGTGAGTAATAAATTTACCTTAACATTTTTGTGACCTGTGCATTATAAATTTACCTGTACATGTTTGTTACCTGTGTGTGATAAATTTACCTGTACATGTTTGTTACCTGTGTGTAATACATTTATCTGTACATGTTTGTTACATGTGCATAATAAATTTACCTGCACATGTTTGTTACCTGTGCGTATAAATTTACCTGTATTTGTATACTTCTTTGTGTTATAAGTTTACCTGTACATGTTTGTTACCTGTGTGTTATAAATTAACCTGTACATGTTTCTTACCTATGTGTAATAAATTTACCTGTATATGTTTTTTACCTGTGCTTAATAAATTTACCTGTACATGTATGTTTCCTTTGTGTAATGAATTTACTTGTAAATGTTTATTACCTGTGCATAATCAAATTTACCTGAACATGTTTGTTATTCGTGCGTACAATGTAATAAATTTGCCTGTGTACATCTCTCTTACTTGTGTGAAATACATTGCAGTATAAAAGCAGCACTTGACATATTGCCTTGTCATCTAAGAAATTCAATCTACATGTAGAATAATGTAACCTTCATAAAATGATTAGAAATTCGATCTAAACCTTCATAAAAATGATTAGAAATTCAATCTACATGTAGATCAAAACCATCATCAAATGATTACAAGCAATAAACTGCATCTGTAGCTTCCGGGAATCTGTGATAACGATTTCCATCATAAGATGTCTATGTCAAAGTCAGTTACCAGCAGTCTAAAACAGTCAATAAGAAATATATTGGCTTGCAGATGTTTGTGTTCGAAGTCTATTTTTGTATGTATATATACATCACCATTTGTTTCAAAGCAGTATTAGTGAGCTGTTATGTCAGTGTACCAGAACAAATAAGTAGCTTCATCACCTGTATATCACAGTGAGGAAAAAAGTAAGGACAATATTTCTGTGTGTTCCCCAAGCTAAGCAGTGCCAAGGTGATGTTTCTAATCAATACGTATCTGCTTGTCAAAGCCATACATATACAGCTATCTAGGTACACAGAGGACTCTTCTGTAGAAACACAAATCCTTATAAGTACTAGATGTTATAAATTGTGCAACTTTTTCTGAACAATCCTTATCAATGTCAATGTCAAGAGCTTCAGTTGAACAAAAATGTTTGTTTTCAGAACTAGATCACTTATAGCTATGAAGATGTGATTTGTTGACAATTTTTGTGCTATTGATGCATATCTTCATTGAATTTGATCATGAAGAGGTTATAAGTTCTGTTATCAAAAACATACATCATTAAAACATTAATGACAAAGTGGTATTGTTATAGTAATAAAACAGTCTTCTTGTACACAAAGATGGTTGTAATACATTAATGCCACTGTACATTTGTATGTATATACCAATTTATGGAGTTATGCCCCTTTGATGTATAGCATTGTTTGTACTACTCCTCTCAAAGTACTACACAGATTTGAATGATACTTGGTAAACATAATGTTGATATTGAGGGGATGTGAATAAACTATATAGAATTGAATTACCTCCCCTTTTTATGGAGTTAGCCCCCTTCTTTTCATAGCCATTGTTTGCACTCCACCATCGCAAGTATTGCATCAATTTGATTGATACTTCATACATACAGGTAGATATCCCTGTAGGTCAAGTATTGAGAAAAGAATGCCTATTCTTATAATTCTGGAATTCTTTGTGTAGATGTGGAGGGAGAGGTTTGGAGGAGGGATACATATTAATCAGCCGTCCTGGGACAGTTCTTGTTATTGGCAAGGTTGTAAAAGTTCTACTTCCTATCAGAAATCAGATGTCTGCTCACATATCATTTATAGCATATGTATCATCCGTTGTTTTACTGTATGTTACAGGTGGTTGTGATGACAGCCGTTGTTTTATTGTATGTTACAGGTGGTTGTGATGACACACTGAAGGCACATAAGAACGGAAGCCTCCAAGCCATGCTGCAAGACGCGACAAACTACGACTACGATCTGATTGTGATAGGTGGGGGCTCCGGAGGTTTGGCTGCATCCAAGGTAATGTTTTAGTAAATAAATCCACATATATTTCTTTTAAAAGCTGTACAATAACTAACAAAGCTGGAAAAGTTGTGAACTTAATGAACATGAAACACAACATATCTGTACTGTTAAATGGGACAATATCCGATACAAAGGAGGGGAGAGAGGATTTGGTAAAGAAGAACCTTCATGTACTTGGCATATACTTACTAGTAAATCATATTAAAATTGAATTGGTCCAGTGTTAATCTCAGTATGGTCTGTAAGGATTTCTGGAGTAGCAGGTGTATAGGAGGACTAGTACTATAGCTTGGTAATTTTAGTGTGCTCCACTTTGAGGTCGTTGCAGATATTAAGGCTGAACAAAAAATCATGTTCGTTTCCTGTTACATGTCTTGAAAAAATCTGTTGAGTAGGCACAGAAAGTTAGAGATGGTAGAGTTACCAGAAACAAACAGCATATCTTACTTGGCCTTATTGAATTTGTATGTTGACATGGACGTTTCTTGTAAATCCAGATATATCAAAATATGCAATTTAAGTCAAAACAAAATATATGTTTGGTATTCTGTTCCATGGTAAATTATCGGGTCTGTAAGTCATTTGGCAAAATAATTACGTCTCCCCTTCAAATGGCCGAAACAATGAAAGCGATGATTAATACCTCTTTCACAACTACTGATCATGATTGCACCCAGTATGGCCACTGCGATTTGGTTTTCGATTGGGTCTATTTACATCTGCACTGCTAACCCCCGAAATGACGCAAGTCTTCGGTTATATAGTCATTGCATTTATCTATTGTATCAATTTATGAACCTTCATTTAGTTGTGAGAAAACAATTTCTGGCTTTTGAATGATTTAGATGACTTTCATGTAATGATGGTGACCGTGTTTTGCAGGAGGCTGCATCTCTCGGAAAGAAAGTTGCTGTGTTTGACTTTGTACAGCCTACACCGGTAGGGACAACATGGGGTACGTCTACCAAACCACTCTGTCATCATTGAATATCATTTGTTGTGGAGAAATAAAAACCATCTAAAAAAAAATTTTGGACTGTCAGTAATCGAATGAAATTATATCGAGCTTTAAAATAAGTTTCAATTATAAACCCAGTTGTACCGTCATTTTAGTACATTTTTAAGTGTCTCCTTTAAATAACTTTGATTTACAGACAATATCTAAATCTGAAAGAATTATCAGATTTTGATATGAAAACTGCCTAGTTTACTTTCTACTGAAGTTTGTTATCAATCAAAGTTGATTTTGCATATAATTGATGCCAAGCCAATTCTGCATATTTTATGAGGGGCCCATAATCTGATTTGCTTATAGTTTTCAGGTGTGTCAGATTTCTATTCAATAGTATATACATTCTATATAAGTCATGTGCGTGGCTCAATTTTGCTGCTCTGCCAATTTCACAAATATTTCGTGAGGCTTCAGCTATCGATTGGCAGATGATTTCTGGATGATATTTTCGGAGAGGATTATCAGATTTTTCACAAAACTTGTGCTGCAAACATATTTTAGGAAACAAAAAAATATTGGTGCTTATTTTAATTCTTTTCATGTACAACAATGTAGGAAGTGTTTAAACTGATATTAACTATTTACAGTAGAGGTCTGTCTACACACGCTGGGAAATACATTTATCTTGTTTTACAGGTCTTGGTGGCACCTGTGTCAACGTCGGCTGTATACCCAAAAAGCTGATGCACCAGGCTGCTATTCTAGGTAAGTTGGTGAACTTTCATCTCCATTTATCCTTGCATCTTACTATAAATGATATTTCTTCAGGAAGTGTGGAAAGAGAATTTCAAGAAGCTGAGAAATTGCATACAAGTGGAAGAAATAAATTCAAAATTTGATGTCTTTTGATCATCTGAAGGCTGTTGATATGTCTAACAGATATTTCTGACTGGAAAAGGATTGTTTACGTTATGTTAGGCCAGATAAATAAATCGGCAATCACAGACCATGCCGCACAGAAAAATCATGTGATTAACTGGGATAGCTCCAAAGTTTTGGACAGAGAGAGAGCAACATGTTCAAGCGGCAGATAAAGGAAGCCATCTGGATACGCCTCAGTGGGCCAGTTCTAAATCGAGACGAGGGGGTTCAAAGACTCTCGCACATCTATGACCAGGTGTTAACAAAGCGTAGCTGAATCGGGTCATTTCGGTACATATATTAAAACTACCGGGGTATTATACATACGCATAGCAATCGCATCGACATAGATTTTGTGGACAACTCATACACATTTTACACCTTTGTGTATATACGCTTCACTGGTCATTTGTCTGATGAAGGTGACAGTGTACATATTGTACTATTCATTGAAACGTCACATAGAAATTTTTATTGGTTGTGTAAAAAGAACTTTTAATAATTTATCCCATTTAGTCAAATAAAACCAATTCCTCGTTGTTGAATTCATTTACATTTAAAAAATCACAGTGTCGTTTAATGATATAGATTTACAAAATTATCTATACCTGTAGGACACCGCCACTGATAAAAGTACTCCATGTCATAATGAGAAATCATAGAACCTAAATTTGTACGACTTATCCACATTGACAATTTAATAATTACTCCTTGATTCTGGCTAATTAAGCCTCATTGCATGTTATGAGGTAATTAACACCAATTTCCAGATATTTTATCAGTTCACGGTAAAAACTGTAAAACGATATCAAATTCATTGATTATGCATTATTGCTATTAGGTGATCACAGCTGGTTGCTTAGGTAACTATCTCAAGAATCTGTTGATTTATCAATATCCTATCTTATGTAGCGTAAGTTTGAAGGTCAAATTCTGGATCTCCGAGTTCGTTAATTTCTGTGGGTTTCATTGTTCTTCACTGTTCAAAAACAAATATCACTATTCTTAGTTTTTCTGTCTGTCACACATTGCTACCTGAACAAAAATTTCCCTAAATATTGTTATAAAAAGTACTTCCTTTATTTTGATAGGCGATAGCATTCCAGACAGTAATTTTCTCTAAAGATCTATAGATTTCTCTAACTTTTAATTTTCTTGTTTTGAAGATAGGTAGAAGCTGTGTATATATTCAATAAAGTTCTATATAATTGGACAACATACTGTGGACAATAACGTCACAAATATTGACGAATTTCAGTAAATATCCTGGTTAACTTTTAAAGGCAGTGTGCAGGAAAAGTTAATAGATGAACAGAATCTGTGCATGTTAATTATAAATAAGTTATAAGCACTTTTTAAATGGTATGGATTTTTGTAAAAGTTGTTGATGCCTATTATGGCAAGTCAAAGCTTAAAGATAACCAGAACCTTTATACATTATTTTAATGAGGTCACATGCTCTTTCTCAGTTCTGATTGGTTATAATGTTTTTTGGACTATTTCTCCTCAATGAACAAGTTTTTTTCCAAATTTGTGAATATATATAAATGTCCAGGCTAAGTTATTTAATAAGGTCACAAACAAACACTTCATCAATTCTGATTGGTTGATACTATAATTTATTATATGGGCCTATATATATATTTATCGCACCTCGGACAAAAATGTCCAAAATCCATTGGTTTAGAGCTGTCACGTGGTGACCCTCTAATTTTCTATATAGGGTCAGTAGGATTCCATTATAGGGCAATATGGCCGCCCACTGCTCACCGCTTCAAAACTAAAACAACAGATACCGGGTACCTGAATATTCTGAAAATGATACAATGCTCACCGTAATTCCCATTCGCTACATTGTATCGTAAAATGATAGGAGTTGCTTCCCCTACGCCAGGCAAAATTAGTAAGACGCTGTCGCAAGCGACCGTCTTTTGTTTTAGCGTGGGTGCCGTCCCCTTATCTAAGCGTTTCGGTGACATTGAGAGACAACAGCACAACAACAACATGGAGAGATTTGGGCAGACGACAACGGAAGAAATAGACAAGAAGCGACTAAACAGTCACTTTCATTTTAAGCAAAAAGGGTCCTCGATGCGATAAATTCGTTATATAGTCAGTTACTGACCCTCTACAGAACCATAGAGGGTCAGTAAGATGTATAGGAGGCTCGGGCTCCGCCCTCGCCCCCTATAAATCTTACTGACCCTCTATGGTTCTGTAGAGGGTCAGTAACTGACAATATAGCTATCTTAGGGTGGATTTTAATTCCACTAATTGGTTTGTTTTGCAATAAAATTGAATGCAAGCTCTACAATGAAGACACTAGGAATGGTGAGGAGCATATATTAACAGTGGAAAGTATGTTAATAAGTTTTGTCGATATTTTACAGGGCATAGTTTGGAAGATGCAAAACACTTTGGATGGAAGGTGCCAGAAGATGGTAAATATTCCTAAGAAGAAAATATGAAGCAATGAAAAACAATAATAATAGTTCTACACAGAAGAGGACTACTTCAATTTAAACATGCATTTTATTTTCTTCTCATTCTAAATCTGTACATTTGATAAGCTTGACTTATTACATTGATATATAAAGGAACATTAATATAGAATGTAAGACATGCATGTGTTTGCTACAGGAGTAGTAGGGTGTGTGTCATGGTATACATCATTTAGGCTGTAGTATACTCTGCTCTGCATCCCATTGATTAAGAGTTAAATTATGTGATAATTATAATATTATTCTTAAACAAGTTTAGGAAGGGATTTGTAAAGTATCAAAACATTTACTTTACAAAATGTGTTCTGGGGCATAAAACAGAACTATTTACTTAAATGGTATACATAGTTATTCTGATAGATAATGTACTCTGACTTTTTCAGTTCAACACAATTGGGACACAATGAAAAATGCAATTCAGGTGAGATTTTTGACATTAGTTTTCTATTAAATCTATCCGATCGTCTGCTAAGGTTAATGTCACTGTGGTTTATACTGTACAGTTCATATCCATTTGTGTGGCCAAATGTTTGTATCACCTGGTCACGTGCACGCTAGTGATTTTAAGTCATAAGTATATTGAAAGTCTTTATACATCTTGAATTGGCCGTAATATTGATATTCCTATGAAAAGAAAACTTCATAAAGAAATGTAAGATGAATACATCTTCACAGTTATACATCAAATGTCATCAAACTTTCTGGGATTTTTATCAATTTCTGGGCATTGATCTTACAGATTTTGATTCAAACCTGTAAGTTTGACTTGTTTTTAGCTCACCTGGCCCGAAGGGCCAAGTGAGATTAGGGCATGGTGCGGCGTCCGTCGTCCGCCCGTCCGTCGTCAACATTTTACTTTAAACAGTAACTAAAAGGCCTAGGGTGATGATATTTGGTCAGAAGCATGCTGGGATGAAGGGCTACCAAGTTTGTTCAAATAAATGACCTTGATTTACATTCAAGGTCACAGGGGTCAAATATGTTTAAAACCTTTCAACAACTTCTTCTGAATAACCAATAGGCCTAGGGTGATGATGTTTGGCAAGAAGCATGCTGGGATGAAGGGCTACCAAGTTTGTTCAAATAAATGACCTTCATCTATTTTCAAGGTCACAGGGGTCAAATATGTTAAATTCTTTAAACAACTTCTTCTCAATATCCAAGAGGCATAGGGTGATGATATTTGGCCAGTAACATGCTGGGATAAAGGGCTACCAATTTTGTTCAAATAAATGACCTTGATTTATATTCAAGCTCACAAGGGTCAAATATGTTTAAAATATTTAAACAACTTCTTCTGAATAACCAATTCCGTCTTTGCGTATTGCAGAGTTATCTTCTCTTGGGAGCAGGTATTGATTGTTACGTCATTGGTTTGTGTGAGAAAATTATGTTGTTTTCTCAAAAATTGATGACATTACTCTCACAAACAAGTGACGTAACAATCAATACCTGCTCCCAAGAGAAGATAACTCTGCAATACGCAAAGACGGAAT